GAGCAAGTAACGGAGCGGGTGATGGAGCGGGGGCTGGGGCAGGCAGAACCGCCGTATCTTTATCACGGTTTTCCCAGGCCACCGAATGGCGACGCTGCATATGCTGACGCAACGCTGTAGTCCCAACATGGCCCCCTGGCCACGCTTGACTTTCTGGCCACATAGTCGACATACGGCTACGTTTACTTCCTCGGGCGGCTTGACGAAAAATTGCCACACCGCCGAGTAGGAAACTTTGCCCCCGCTACTCCTCACTGGCTGACTGCTACTTCCTCCGTGCACACCGGCACCACTACTGGCCGTGGTGGTAGGCTGCAGTGGAGCTGGTGCTCTACTCCGTGGCCGTTTGGCTCCACTGACACTGCTGCGACCCTGCTGCCTCCTGGGCAACCCACCGACTGTTTTGCTCGCTGGCAAGCTGGCACCCTCTTCTTGATGATGCGGAAGCAATAGCCTGATGACGACGAGGCTGCCAAGTGCGATCAGCCTCATCATCATCAATTAGGGTCTCCGCGTCACTACTAGCCCCCTCGGCTGCGTGTGGGTCAGGAGACAGACCTGTCTCTAGACCGGCTACCGAGCCTCTCTCCTCGCCAGTACTTCTTCGCCTGGCTGCTGAAGAGGCGGATGTCTCCCCCCGTTCCTGACCGCCCTCTGTTAGCTCTTCCTCACTGTACAGTGGGGCTGAGCCCACAGCATGCGATACTTCGCTTGGTGAGGGAACACCAAAGGACAGGGGCAGGTCGAGGACACGTGATTTCAGTGGGCTTGCTCCCGGGCCATGCCAACTAACGGTTGTGTCTGACGTACCCACCGACCGTTGGCTGTAGGTGTCAGAGGTGACCTGGGAAGAGGAAGACGACCGAGTCAACCAATCGATGACGGCAGGGTTGTCGGTGGAGACACGACCGCTGGATGACACCGGGAGCACTGGCCTCTGGCTGCGACTAGTGCTGCCTCGACCCCTTCCTCTGCTGCCACGTCTGCTCGCTCCTGAAACATTGCCTCCTCTGCCACTCCTCTGCGTGTTGTCTGACATACTCTTTAATTCAATAAGCACCCCAAAAATAAAACCGGATTTAACTCTTTGAACGTACAATAGTGGTTGTGAAGCAGAAAGTCAGTTTATTTAGCACAATCGGTCAATTGCAGCTTGCCGTTGGCTGGAAACTGTACGTTTATGTCACTGGAATGCACTAATCACCCAAAAAATATTACCGCCACCCGGCGTGTATATGGATTTAACTCTTTGAACGTACAATAGTGGTTGTGAAGCAGAAAGTCAGTTTATTTAGCACAATCGGTCAATTGCAGCTTGCCGTTGGCTGGAAACTGTACGTTTATGTCACTGGAATGCACTAATCACCCAAAAAATATTACCGCCAGCCCGGCGTGTAAATGGATTTAACTCTTTGAACGTACAATAGTGGTTGTGAAGCAGAAAGTCAGTTTATTGCACAATCGGTCAATTGCAGCTTGCCGTTGGCTGGAAACTGTACGTTTATGTCACTGGAATGCACTAATCACCCAAAAAATATTACCGCCAGCCGGCGTGTAATGGATTTAACTCTTTGAACGTACAATAGTGGTTGTGAAGCAGCAGAAAGTCAGTTTATTTAGCACAATCGGTCAATTGCAGCTTGCCGTTGGCTGGAAACTGTACGTTTATGTCACTGGAATGCACTAATCACCCAAAAAATATTACCGCCACCCGGCGTGTAAATGGATTCTAACTCTTTGAACGTACAATAGTGGTTGTGAAGCAGAAAGTCAGTTTATTGTACACAATCGGTCAATTGCAGCTTGCCGTTGGCTGGAAACTGTACGTTTATGTCACTGGAATGCACTAATCACCCAAAAAATATTACCGCCAGCCGGCGTGTAAATGGATTTAACTCTCTTTGAACGTACAATAGTGGTTGTGAAGCAGAAAGTCAGTTTATTTAGCACAATCGGTCAATTGCAGCTTGCCGTTGGCTGGGAAACTGTACGTTTATGTCACTGGAATGCACTAATCACCCAAAAAATATTACGCCACCCGGCGTGTAAATGGATCTAACTCTTTGAACGTACAATAGTGGTTGTGAAGCAGAAAGTCAGTTTATTTAGCACAATCGGTCAATTGCAGCTTGCCGTTGGCTGGAAACTGTACGTTTATGTCACTGGAATGCACTAATCACCCAAAAAATATTACCGCCCCGGCGTGTAAATGGATCTAACTCTTTGAACGTACAATAGTGGTTGTGAAGCAGAAAGTCAGTTTATTTAGCACAATCGGTCAATTGCAGCTTGCCGTTGGCTGGAAACTGTACGTTTATGTCACTGGAATGCACTAATCACCCAAAAAATATTACCGCCACCCGGCGTGTAAATGGATTTAACTCTTTGAACGTACAATAGTGGTTGTGAAGCAGAAAGTCAGTTTATTTAGCACAATCGGTCAATTGCAGCTTGCCGTTGGCTGGAAACTGTACGTTTATGTCACTGGAATGCACTAATCACCCAAAAAATATTACCGCCACCCGGCGTGTAAATGGATTTAACTCTTTGAACGTACAATAGTGGTTGTGAAGCAGAAAGTCAGTTTATTTAGCACAATCGGTCAATTGCAGCTTGCCGTTGGCTGGAAACTGTACGTTTATGTCACTGGAATGCACTAATCACCCAAAAAAATATTACCGCCACCCGGCGTGTAAATGGATTAACTCTTTGAACGTACAATAGTGGTTGTGAAGCAGAAAGTCAGTTTATTTAGCACAATCGGTCAAATTGCAGCTTGCCGTTGGCTGGAAACTGTACGTTTATGTCACTGGAATGCACTAATCACCCAAAAAATATTACCGCCAGCCGGCGTGTAAATGGATTTAACTCTTTGAACGTACAATAGTGGTTGTGAAGCAAGCAGAAAGTCAGTTTATTTAGCACAATCGGTCAATTGCAGCTTGCCGTTGGCTGGAAACTGTACGTTTATGTCACTGGAATGCACTAATCACCCAAAAAAAATATTACCGCCACCCGGCGTGTAAATGGATCTAACTCTTTGAACGTACAATAGTGGTTGTGAAGCAGAAAGTCAGTTTATTTAGCACAATCGGTCAATTGCAGCTTGCCGTTGGCTGGAAACTGTACGTTTATGTCACTGGAATGCACTAATCACCCAAAAAATATTACCGCCACCCGGCGTGTAAATGGATCTAACTCTTTGAACGTACAATAGTGGTTGTGAAGCAGAAAGTCAGTTTATTTAGCACAATCGGTCAATTGCAGCTTGCCGTTGGCTGGAAACTGTACGTTTATGTCACTGGAATGCACTAATCACCCAAAAAAATATTACCGCCAGCCGGCGTGTAAATGGATTTAACTTCTTTGAACGTACAATAGTGGTTGTGAAGCAGAAAGTCAGTTTATTTAGCACAATCGGTCAATTGCAGCTTGCCGTTGGCTGGAAACTGTACGTTTATGTCACTGGAATGCACTAATCACCCAAAAAATATTACCGCCACCCGGCGTGTAAATGGATCTAACTCTTTGAACGTACAATAGTGGTTGTGAAGCAGAAAGTCAGTTTATTTAGCACAATCGGTCAATTGCAGCTTGCCGTTGGCTGGAAACTGTACGTTTATGTCACTGGAATGCACTAATCACCCAAAAAATATTACCGCCACCCGGCGTGTAAATGGATCTAACTCTTTGAACGTACAATAGTGGTTGTGAAGCAGAAAGTCAGTTTATTGTACACAATCGGTCAATTGCAGCTTGCCGTTGGCTGGAAACTGTACGTTTCTGTCACTGGAATGCACTAATCACCCAAAAAATATTACCGCCAGCCGGCGTGTAAATGGATTTAACTCTTTTGAACGTACAATAGTGGTTGTGAAGCAGAAAGTCAGTTTATTTTGCACAATCGGCAAACTGCAGCACCAACTGTGCACGACAGCCACCAAAAAAAAAAAAGGGTGTATGTCACTTTAAATTTTCGATTCTTTGATAGCTGTGGCCCTAAGTAACGATTCTGTGTCCCTGAGTAACGATTCTGTGTCCCTGAGTAACGATTCTGTGTCCCTGAGTAACGATTCTGTGGCCCTGAGTAACGATTCTGTGGCCCTAAAGTCTCTGTGGCCCTAACTCTGTCCCTTAATACACACAGGTCTGTCTCTCTTGAATGACCGGAGGCTAATGGAGAATTCTAAGATGGCCGCGATTTATAGCTCCACCATTACACAGTGCTGGCTGGCTGCTGATTGGCTAATGCGATCACATGTCATGAATGCATTATGGGTCAGCGCGCCTTGTCTGCGCGCCTTCCCAGAGATCCCCCCCCCATCTTCTCTGTCCATTTTCTCCGTCGCCACACATGTCGCCGCCATTTTTGGGAAAATTCGATTCGTGCATCCGAAGTTTGCTAATCTTCGGATTCGTCGCGAATAGAATTTTTCCAAATCTTCGGAACGAATTCCACTTCGTCATGTTCGATTCGCTCATCTCTAGTGATTACCTCTGAATCTCGCTATCACAGAGATCAGTCACTGTAAAGCCCTCCCCCCTTGTGTTCTCTCTCAAAATGGAGGAGAGAGATACGTTGTTTCTCTCTCTGTCCTTTCAGGAAAAATAAATAAATACAATTAATAATAACTGAAAAAAATAAAAATAAAAAAATAAAAAAAAATACCTAGATCAAGGTTTAATCTAGGTCTGTGCCAGGCTTTGGTGTTTTGCTTCAGGATCAAAGTTAAAGGTCAGGATCAAGGGTCAGGTTTTATTTTTTTTGGTCAGGATTTTTAAAAAATGTTTAAATTAGTATCAGTCGTTTAGTGGCAGAAAAAAAAATCCATACTATTGTTTATGTGCTGTACTATGGGTACAAACAACAGCTAACATACACACATGTGGTGCTGCTGCAATCGTCAGGAGCAGGAGAAATTATTTTGGGTTGTTCTTTGGTGGTAGGTTATGGTAGTAGCAAGAAATATACAGCTAAATTTAAAAAAAGTTTTTTTTTGCTATTTTGGGCCAGTTTTCCTTTGGTAATAAAAAAAAAAAATCAGGAGATATCCATTGTGCAGCGCTGACTTGATAATAAAAATAAAACTGAAAGCTATTATTATTATTTTACAGTGTTTATATAGTGCCAAAAAGTTTGCTCAGCACTGTACATTAGAGTGGGAGACAGTACATGAGACAGTACAGTAACAATACAATACACGAGGGGTTTCGAGGGCCCTGCTCCTTGGAGCTTACAATCTAGGAAAGCTATAAACAGTAAACAATAAATGTGAAAATAAACGTGAACTTTATCCTCGGTGGGATCTTAATAGTGAAATATATTTTTAACCAATGAATTCAACCAAGTCCAAATGGGACTAGAATCAAGTGTGTACTGATCCACTAGGGATCCCAGGTGATATCAATAAGTGCTGTAATCAACCAGGTCCAAAAAAAGGACTAAAATAAAGTGTGTAACGTGAACTGATCCACTCAGGGATCCAATGTGATATTCAAAAGGTGAAAAAGACCATAAAAGTAAAGAATATTATAAATAAATATAGTCCAATTGGGACTGGATAAAGGTGAAAAACAGCAAAAAGTATGACTAAATAAAAAGGTGAAACAATGAATATAGAAGTGTCACAAATCCCTAAGTGGCACTCAAACACAGCACTCCATATAAAACATCATTATCCCATAATTTTGGATAATTTAACCCCCCCAAAAATATATAAATATATATATAAAATATATATAAAAAAACAAAACATAAAAATAAAAAACATTTTTTTTTTATAAAACCAAACTCCAAAAATGTGCGCAAAATGTAAAGTATGAACAAAACGCATAAAAAAATGAAACCACGTGTCAGCAAAAAAAATTTAATAAATCACTAAATAAATAGGAAACACATGTAAAAAGTTCAAAGGTGTATAAACGCCAAGTGATCCAATGACTTTTCCAAGTGATAAAGTGGATGTGCGTGCCAACCAATGAGAAAGATAACCCAAAACGGCTGAAATGCCCCCTCACCTCCTTGCAGTGACCCAAACGGGCCAAAACGCCTGTAGGATCATAAAAAAGATCCTCCATGCCAAGAAACTCCTCTTAGGATGATATCCACTCAGATCGATGGTATCCCCTTCAATAACATGCATTTTCGATAGCAGGGTCCTCTCCAGGTTAGTATAGGTGTAATACAGCCAACTCACATTAAAATACATAAAGAAGATCTTCCATAGTGTAAAGCCTTTTTTAATCATGTGTGTGTAGGATCGGTGCCCCCCAGTTGCGTGCTGGGTTGGGTCGGTGGGTGCCCCCCAGCTGCATCCTGGGTCGGGTCAGTGTGCTCCGCGCGGTCAGTGCTCTCCCCTGCGCCGGCCGAGGCTCCTCATTATTGTGAAGTCTCTGCTCCAGAACTTTTCTCTCCTCCTGCCAGTTGCAGACTGTCCGCGGTTTTATTTTTATTATCAAGTCAGCGCTGCACCATTGCATTTATGATTTAGACTTGTCACATGGTATATGATTAGGTGTTAGCAGCTCCCAAAGGTTAGGAGGTACTTTAGTTAGGAGCGCAGGAGGATCACAACATTATAGGAGATATCCATTACCATTTACCACCAAATGAAAGTCCATTTTGTCCTGAACAAAATGTGGTATAATCCACCTGGATGTACAAAGTAATTGTGATGATATGTACGGTTTTTCTAACACATGTCAAAGCTGCAAAATTGTGCTTAGGCATTAAGATTTGTTTTACACTTAGGCACGAAGGGGTTAATAAAGATGCCATCTAGGCAAGATTCAACTTCTGAGAAATGGGTAAATTGCTTCTTCCCACGTTTTAGCGATTACAAGCTTAGAGGCTATCAAAACAAAGTGGACCAATTTAAATTGGAGTTTAGTAATGTCCAGAGGTTTAAAGTGCAGATGGGCCAGTCAAGGGTCCTTAGTGAGTGATGTTTCTAGTAATGTACACAATAGTAAAAAGACCCTAGACCAAAAACGTCCCAACATAGGACAGTCCACCAAATGTAAAGAACATCCCCAATGGTCTGGCATCCCCAATAGCATAGGCCTGAATGGCCAGAGACAATATGGAATATTCTGGAAGGGACCATGTACCATCTGGTCATCACTTTATAGGCAGATTCTAGCTTGGCGATATTAATGGTGCAGGAGGTGGTGGAGGACCAAACGATATGCCAAACCAGGGACTTCCTCCCATCGAGTCACATAGGCATGAGCTGCCGATGTGGGTAGTCAGTTAAGTTTAGAATATACTAGCGAGATAAGCTGATAAGCCAGTGGGATACGGTGACAGGTATGTTCAAAGATAGCAAGCAATGTGGATAGATCTTTATCCCAAATGAGACTGGAAATCCATTGCCTAATCTGTATCATAAAAGCTCGGATGCCAGAGCCTTAAATCGTTTTCAAATGATTTTCCAGAGAATTGAGCCCTTCTCTCAAAGGAGAGAACAGTATAGAAATTTGTGTGTGGGCCACCAGCAGAAGGCTAATTGAGAGTTGAGAGTTGAGACCTGGCGGGAAGATGGGGTTGCCTGAGAGGGAAAGCAGAGGGAGATAGGGGGAAAATAAGTTGCTTGAGTACTTAACAACAAGTAATGAAACGGCTCAATGTAGAGGGATGCAGGAGAGTAGGCATCCATGGTAAAGATTGTGGGTTGACAGGGCCACAAAAAGATTCCTCTAAGTCCACCTACTGGGGGTCTCCTTAGCTGCATATCGGGCTATAATGCGGTGATTTGGACTGCCTGATAATATTTAACCAGGTTCAGGATGCCTAAACCTCCCCGGCATTGGTGGATATACATATCCACAGGGATTTAAAGTCAGTGGGAGTGCCATATACTGTAAAAGACATGATATGGTTTTGAAAAGATCTAATGGCAAAAAAGGGGATCAGGGTAGGGAGGGTGCAAAATAAATACAACATTTTTGGGAGAATGGTCATTTTAACAGCATTGATCCTTCCCATCCATGAGATGGGATAAGTGAACAAGGAGGTAATAAGATAGTTGAGGGATTCGAAAATTGGGAGGTAAAGCTTGAATAAAGTAAGATGAATTGAATACTTAAATAGTTAATCTGTTTAGCAGCCCAAACAATGATTTGAGCATGGTGAGTATGGAGTTGGACAGGGAGATGTTAAGAGTTACAGAATTATCTTCATTGACATGGAGATTAAAGATCTGTGAGAATGAGTTGAGGACAGAAAATACATTCAGAAGTGAAATTGTGGCTAGGGTCAGTAATAGGGCATCAGTGAATAGGCTAACTTGGTGCCAAGCAATTTTTTTTTCTTGTTTAGATAGAGCAGGATATACATAACACCCCTGTCAAATTAGGCCCAGAGTAAAAGAAGAGATATATAGACTAAGGGCCTACATGACTGGATTAAAAGGGGGTTTTGGGTAGAAGTTTTTGGAAAATATATACATGGAGTCGAATTTACTTACCTGATTGGGAACAGACAGGAACAGGAGGAGCTTCATGGGATGGCTACAGGAAGGTCTTCGGAGAATCTTCAGTTGGAACACAACTGGTGTAAGAAAATCTCCCTCCCCTCACATTTGAAAGTTATTGTCCTTCTGCTGAGGACTGTTTCAGGTTGATATGTACAGTATAGTCATAGCAGCTGGCAAGGTTCAAGGTCCTTGAAGGTGGTAAAATGTAAATTGGTAAGAACCAGTCTTAGGTATGGCTTCCTATATATTGTACATTTCAGTGACAGTGAACTGGAGGTTGCACATGGTAGTATTTGCTGTTAGTGCAATCATCCCTGAGTCTGTTTTGTGCGGCTGGAGGCCTATCTTACAGGTTTACACGGGTATTCAGTTAGGTAGAAATACCTACAAGGACCTTGGGGCTCCATTCATATTGTATTGAGTGTAATTCTGTTATTTGTATATTTTGTTAATAAAAGGCTGCTATGGCCATTAAACTCCAATATGATCTTGTGTGGGTTGCTTAGGTATGGATGAGTGATGGAGTGGTGATTTGTATATTACCCAGAGCTCTGTTTTTCACTGCATTTTTTTGTATCAGTGGGTTGGTGGACAAATGGACTTACATTGTAAGAAGCAGCAGTAAAGAGCAAATGTTCAAATTATTATACTAAAGGAGTAGAGAATGTTCACGTAGCTCTGTTAACTTTACTTCATGACATTGTCTACAAACAACAATTCTGTTTCCTATTTAGTTTCCCTTGCACATCATTTGGTTCTCAAAGTGGAACAGGTTCACTGTATTCACTAAGTATCAATTAATAATTACCACGCTCTAATACTACCGTGCCAATACTATATGCTAAAAAATACAACTGATATACTGTGAAAATATCAATTTATAAGCTGCATTACCAAAATTAATCAAATTATATTGCCACAGTGTTTTACCAAAAAGTAAATATAAATAAAAAATGTGTGAATAAATCCAATTGTGATAATTTTACAATATAAATATTTCATTAAAAATAAATAAATAAATTCATAAAGTCCAATGTGCAAATTGTGCAAAACAAAAAATAATTATATATATATATATATAAAAAAAAAAAAAAAATTAATTTAATTGAAATAAAAAATAAAAAATGTTTTTTTTTAAATATGTATAAATATATATGAAATTCAACTGAAGAAAATGTGCAAAAAAGAAGATGTGCAAAAAAGTTTTTTTGAAGTTCAGCAGGGAAAAGATGATAATAGTATACTCTCCTTTCAAGCTGCTTATGGTTGTGTAGCTGGAAACTAAGTATCATTTACTAATCATTTAGTAAATCAACTCCAATGCGTAAGACTGTGAAGCAGGATGCAGAGCTGGGATATGGAATGAGGAAAAATGGCTGCCCCCAGGTATGTATATAATTACAAAATACATCCAGAAACAAGGTTTTTTAAAGCACTAGCATAAATTAATAAGCATCTATATAATGAATAAAGTAATATATACTTTTTCATACATATTTATTATAATACTATTGACGTTATTATACACTGAAATGTGTGAGTCATTAACCAGGTTACACCATACAGAGATACGTAATGTATTGGTTTGCATAGTATAACATAGTAAAGATGTAGATATTGGTTTACCACACCTTCCTCAGTTTTATAGCAGACAGATTAGCAGCAGATAAGAAGAGATATATATATGGATGAGATGGGAAGAGGTCACACCGATAACACAGGAGTTTATTAACGCTGGCCACAGAAAATACTTTGAAGAGGTTATGGTGCCACTGGTGCAGAAAGAGGGGCAGCAATATTTGCAGTTGCAAACAGGTCCTTAGGAGCACATAGGGCCTATGTAGCCATATCCAAACACCCTCTTCATTTATTTGATTAGAGTTGGTGTTCCCGCTATGATTACTCAATCCCAAGGACACTTGCTTGCAGTTAAGCAATCGTTTTATTACCAATTTAGCTAGGAGCAGCACTTTGGAAATTGACAGCTGATATCAGGGAAGTAGACTATTCTTGAGGTTGATATGCAAACCAGAACAGCACCTTGTCATAAGCAGTTACTTGACTTAACATTTTCTTGATACATATTGCAAGAGCAGAGGGTAACAGTTATACAGTAAATACAGAATTGAATAATCTATATAGATATATGTTCCTTGGGCCTAAGTATGCCCTTGCTCCTGGGTAGCTTCAGTCTTGAGGGACCTCCAGAACCTGAAACAAGACCACCCCTGGTCCAGGATATGAGGAGTCGACCTACAAATGCTACTCAAGGTGTTCACCAAGGTTCTGCGTTATGCAGCTCCTCAGTGCTCCATTCCCAACTGCTAAATGTCACTAACTAAAAAAAGCTAAACCCAAGGCATTAATAGGTTGTGAGTGCTGGTTAGCAAGAGGGACACTGCCACAAGGTAGTGAAAGTGCATTTCCACTTACCACCAATGAAGGATAAACAATACAACTTCACTGACTACTAATCAGAGCCTCATCTCATAAGGCCCCAGTAACACCAAAGACACCTTCACTTTAAATAAGTGTATTTATTTGGGGGGTTTACATACAGAAGGTCATGGGGTAGGTATGTTATCTGCAAGGGGAGTTATGAGAGCTTTGACTATAGGAATGTGGCTCAGGGGCCATGTTATACACCATGCAGTGAGGTCCAGGTATATCAGGCTATGCCACTGTAAAGCCCCAGTGTCTTCAACTTCCTTCTGTGCAGCCATACCTTCACTCTGTCATGTCCACCATGCAGTATGGTTGCTTTGCCCAGACGTCTAAAGTTTGAATTGAGGTATGGTTTATGTCAATGGCTCTAGGTACGATTTATGCCATCTACCCCATCTTAGCCATTATTTCCCATTGCACCAACTAGCACAGACAGACTTTTCATCTCTGGCCTCTGAAAATTGGATTGGTTGCTTTTGGTATGCGAATTTAAGCTCCACAAATTTCAGCACACATATATTTATTGCATTTATTATACAGGTAACAAACTTGAACATTTAGTACATTCAATAAAATAATCACTTGCAAAATAAATGATCCACACTTAAAAATGCTTTGAGAGGCTTTTGCTCATTTCTAAATGGTTGTGCATTCCTATACAAGTCTATGGAAAGGCAAAACCTCTTGAAGCAGGTCCCATGCAGGTCAGATTCACCTGTCAATGAATTCTGAATGATCTAATCTTTGAATAATGTAAATTGATGCCTTCAACACAAGCCCAAGAACCATCAACAAGAGCCCAGAATCCATCAACACTAGCCCAAGGCCTATCAACACGAGCCCATGGC